AATTAATTCCTGAAGTTCTATAAATATAATACATAAATGCATTCAGCCTTATTTGGTTATCATGACTAATCGCTGCTAAAATTTAGTCTCTATAAATTGTTTGCATTAAATCAAAAGCAATGATCAAATTGTATATCTTATGTTTTAAATTCAGTCACTTAATAAAGATTATTTTCTACGTATCTAGCCCCAGATATATCTTGAATGCGTAACAGAACAATGTATATACATCATAGATGATAGAATACAAGTGATAATATTTTGGCTTGTAAACTGGTCCCTGGATTACAGATCCTAATTTTGATAAAATATCACGAACAGGCTTGATATATAACTAGGCTTTGGTTGTTTTTATTGTCCAAAATGTACCAAAACTGAACAGGAAAAGCTGCATATGGTATAGCTACAACTACAGTTTGCAATCTGCACTTTTTCTGTCTTACTCCAAAGTGTTACATGACAACCTTGATTACCCAAAGCCAAAGCCATGATAAGCAACAGAGATAAAATGTAGGCCCATATGGCATGAGATTCTGCAACAGAATGGGGGAGGTGGCAAACTATGACATTCAATACAGAACTACGGTAATAAATTAAGGTATAAGGAAGGAGGTTCAGGTTAGACAACAGGAGGAACTCCCTATCATTATGAGCTTCCAGCTGTCAACTGATGGAAGAGGCTACAATATGACATAGTTAATTATCCTCTGCTAGAAGTTTCCACATTGAGGCTGCATGGTCTTCTATTGGAGATGTTCTAGTACTATAGATCCTGTACTCAACAGGAGTTTGGGTTAGATAACTTTTGTGGTTACTTCCAACTCTACTATACTGTCAAATGCTATGGTGCTGGTACACAAATCCAAAATAGCAGCATTTGTGTGTTGACGTTACTGTCTACTTTTTTTTTTCATTTTCTCATAATTTATTGCTAACATGGCTGTCATCTAATGACAATCATAGATATCTGAAAGATTGGGAATTTGAATGAAAGTGGAGTAAATGAAAAGCACCATGGATCAAAGTAATTAAAAAATTTGATATGACAAGTATCTCAAATTTTGAGAAAGGTTAAGCATATAAATAAATGTCAAATTTATGAATACCTGTTGGAAAATGAAGATGAAAGTTGAATTATAAATGAAAGGGCTAAAATACATATAGTTGTGGGATTGTATGAAAATAGGAATCCTTTGGTTAGTGATAGTTGCATGTTATATATGATCCTTGATAGCACAGTGGTTAGAGTGCAGTACTGCAGGCTACTTCTGCTGCCTGCCGGCTGCCTGTAATTTGGGAGTTCATATCTCACCAGGCTAAAGGTTGGCTCAGCCTTCCCTCCTTCAGAGGTGGGTAAAATGTGAACCCAAATTCTTGGGGGCAATATAGATTCTAAACTGCTTAGAGAGGGCTGTAAAGCACTGTAAAGTGGTATATAAAAAGTGCTGTTGCTATTGCTATATTCCTGTGAATAGTGAATACAGAAGAATTGAATGTGAGATTTGGGGAAAATTGAGAAACGTCCTTCATGAGATTCAGGGGGAAAATATTCTGTTAGATGGGTGGGAAACAAGATGAAAGAATATAGAAAAAGCAAATAATTCAGAGGCTCAAAATGAATGAGAATGATGACTACTAGCAAGAACTTGCTTAGAAAGCTTCATTCTAGGCAGTTTACTATCAAAACGTTGGTCTCTTTGTGATATTTGCTCACAGCAAATGTGTTTTTTTCCCTATAGTACCGTAAACAGTTCATGACTTCATTAGCTCTCTTGAGGCTTATTAATGCTCAACTAGCTTTTCTCGGGAAGACTTTAATTAATTTCAAGAGTGAACTGGCGTGACAGCAACGTCTCTCCAGTTCTCTCATGACAAAAATATTCTTTTTTTATCTTTATTTTTCTCTTCATTACAATTACCCTTCAGCTCCAATAGCCTTTTAAGTTGTGAGCTATTTAAGTCAGATTTGTTTGCCTTGAAACTACTGTGGTTTCCCGGGGGCGGGGGGAGCCATTTTCTGCACTGAGTCCCAGACATACTTGGTGTTTTGCATCTTTTGAAGAAAATGCCATTTACAGAGCAACATCATAGTTATAATACTGCAATATGGCTACAATCCAAAGATGCACAAAAAGTGTTTTAGGTGATAAGGAATTGTGTTTCTCAACAGCTGCGGCTTGTAATATAGGAATCTATCAAATTACAGTGGTAGGAACAAAAACCAACACAGGTAGTCCTTAGTTAACGATGGTCTAAAGCTGTTGCATTGTCCTTCCAGCACAAATACATCCCTGTTCAAGCTGCTTGATGATGCTCAGTGTAAGTTTTATCTTTCTTTTATAAGGGTGGGTTTGGAGGCAGTTTTGCACTTGATGACTTCCGTGACCTTGTCTCAAATGATCACAGGCCTGGAGCAGAAACAAGAGCACACGTTAGACCTGATGTAACTCTTATGCACATGGCAGTCTGCCAGGCTGTGGCTTAAAATTTCCTGGCAGCTTCCCTACTGATTTTGGTTGTGGAGAGCTGGCAGGAAGTTTCCTCACTTAATGACCACTCTATTTGGGTTAAAAACAGCAATCAGGTCTGCAGAGATTGCCATTGCTAAGTGATGTCACGGTTTACATCCTCATGGCTTAGCAACAGAAACTCCAGCCCCAACTGCCTTCGTAAATCGAGGACTAGCCTATAATAGAAATAGTTTTCAGGTATAGCAAATCTATATTATTTACTGAGGAGTGAAAGAACATTGGTTCTGATCAAACACAATTATTCCATTTTCAGAAGTGTTGTTGTTCCATACTACTGAACATTTTCCTTGCCCCGATGCGCTGGCTAGAGATGAACTGAGTTTGGCTTAACTCCATCTATTCAGAAATAGTCCTCTCGAGAAACCTTGCTACCTTTGAAATTTCATGCTGCAAAATACATACAGATGGCTTTTTAATGTTGAGGCTAATGAGAACCATTTGCAAATAGAAGAGTAGTAATTCCATGAAGATAACTAAATGACAATGGGCCATGAAAAACTCGTTACAATATCTCTGCACTCAGTGGTGTTCCTCACATACATATTCTCCAAGGCAAACAATTAGCAAATATAATATTGTTCATCCAAGTATATTAATAAGTCAAATGTTCCACTACTTTCTATGATAAATCATGAAATATTTTTAATGTGTTACAATGACCCAATTCTTACTGAAAAAATAAGAAGATAGATGTTCAAGTGCTCCTATATGCAAAAAAATATTATTTAATGCATAAAAATCCTTTTTTTAATTATTATTTTATTAAATATTAAAACATTGGCCACAGTGACCTTCCTGGCTTTGTCATTTCCATACATATTTTAACAACAGCAAATACAGTTCCTACTTATCGTACATTGCTACTTTTATCTTATAAACATATCCCTTGTCCTCCTTTGTATGTTTGTCTTGAACAACTGGCAAGTTAGACACTACTTATTTAATCTGGTAGTGCTCTAAGCATCAGGTCTATATCATTCATTAATCAATATGGTAACCATTGGGCATCTTCTGTTTTAGTTAAACAGGACGTTATGGCAAAGAAGCCAATTTCAAAGATTTGATTTTGAAACCTTAGGATTTAAATTCTAAAATTTATGCCCCATCCTAAATGTCCATGAATTGCATTTACTTATGCAATTTGTTACTGAGCTTTCTGCTAATAGCCAGCACTGGATGTGGCAGATAAAAAAAACCCGAAAGTAATTAATTTGCAGCTAAAAACAATTCTCATATAATTTTTAGCATTATATAAAAATAACTGAAACATCTAGCATGCCTTAAATTCAATCAAAAATCAGGTAAAATAAAGATGTTTTTGCTGGTCAGCAAGGAGATATCGGAAGACAATCTCCCTGATGAACTTTGGTACAGAATTCCAAAGTACTCCAAAGCATCCTACACCTTAATAAAAAAACATACACATCAAATATTCCCTAACGATGTATTTTTAATGATTCCTGAATCAGAAGGAAATTGTAATTTGAGGGTCTAGGCCAGGGGTGTCAAACTCAGCTCCTGTGGGCTGGATTTGGTCTGTGGGGTCCTTAGATTTGGCCTGTGGCCCTCCCTGGAATCAGCGGACCGGCCTGCGGTGTCTCTGCCAGCAAAAACGGAGCCTGGGCAGGCCACATGCGGCCTCCCCAAGCTCCATTTTCACTGGCAGAGGGTTGCAGGAGGCCCTCGCAGCTGAAAAGGAAGCCTCAATGAGTGACATCCAGCTGGCCATGCCCACCCTGACCGTGCCCCCCGCCTCTCTGAGGTCAAACACAACCCTGATACGACCCTCAATGAAATTGAGTTTGACACCCCTACTGTAGGTATTCAGTTGTTTGAAATGCTAGAACAGTTGATAAGTGAAGATGTGATATGATTTTCCCCCCCCCATAGGAATTTCTTATTAATATTTTAATTTGGAATTGTTTTAATTTTACTGCCTATTTGAATTAGCTGTTTTTATCACATTTTACTGATTGGCATTCTCTATTTTCAAAATCCATTCAGAACAGTAACATTATTAGGTTCAATTCAAAGCTGACACCTCAAGTGTGTTTAATAAAGTTATTATCAATATAGGGATTTTTAATTTTTTTTTTTACTCCTGTTTTTCTTAAGAAATGAATGATGTTAATATTGGTAATTTTCTCTATTTTATTATGATGTAAATAAAGACTCACCTTTATCTATAACACCAGGTCAAAGAAGTTCCTGTCTTCTGTAAACAATCTTGATATTTTGTTTTATGTTCAAAGAAAGGAACGAAGTAGAAATACTATCCTAGACACCACTGACCTGGATAGTGTTTATTGTGAAGGACTGCATGTTTTCATGAACTATCAGGCAATAAATCAAAGAGATCACTTGAAATGTACTACACAACTGTTGTTTTATTTGGTCATTATTTCATTCACACAGGCATTGCGGCAACTATAATGATCCATCATTTTCAGGGGCCTTCACCTCTTATCTCTAAGTCATCATCAGTATATCCCAAGAGATTGAAGTGCGGGTAACTGGGAGCCTTCTCCGAAAGTCCCTCCATGTTTCATTTGACAAATCGTAGAGGCTTTTCACCAGATCCATCTGAAATTTGTTATCTTCAGCTTCAATAAATTTCTCAAAATCCAAGGCAAATTGGTCCCGATGAATTAAATATATGGAACCTTCAGCTGTACTACTGGCTGTCCAGTGAAGATTAGCTTTTCTGAAATAATGCAGCTGTACTTTTAAGTCCCCCCTGACTTCTGAAACAGGTGGAGTTATTGCAATTATCCATTCTGATTTCCAGAGAATGTTCCAGGATTTCTTATTCTGGTGGCTTTCCATGCAGACCACAAGGAATGGTTTGTTCCTAATTGTTTTTTTGTAGACCCGACAAACTCCTGAAATGAAATGCCTCTTCATGTATGCTTCCAAGATCTCATTAAGGGTTTCTCTCCATAATTCTGCCCTGTCTCTCCTAATATTACAATAAAGCAGAAACTTGTCAGCTCTTCTATTCAGGGAATCGAATGTGAAGGAAAGCTTGATCTGGGGGTCAAAGAAGCGATCACCTCCCATGTCATTATGGCGAGTCACCAGAACATAGTCCCCTTTGATGTTTGCAGTGGTGAAATGTTTCTTGGAATGATTAGCACACACCTGAGCAACCTCTTCCTTTATGAGTTTATCGTCACAAAGCAGAAAGCGAAGGTCTTCAAAAACATTCTTGAATTCACCTGGAGGGCACTGTTTTAACAAATTGCATATGAGTTGTATTTTAAGGGCATTAGCTGCTGCTTCTTTGGCTAGTTCAGTTTCCTCAGAGGGTGGTTCTTCTAAATCTGGCAATGAGATAACAAAATAAAACAAGAGCTCTTTCAAATGTTTATGAATTAAACTCGACACCGTTGACTGACATTTCTTCCAAAAATCGAACAAAGTAGTATTTCATTTTGAATCTTTCTCAATTGTCACTTCCAGAAATTAGTCTACAACTTTCCAAGATTAAGCTAGATCTAGAATGGAATGTGAGCTTATCGGGTTTTAGCGGAAGCTGTAAGATCACGGGTGGGATGCTGGGGATTCGCAGGTGTTCGAGAGAACCTCTAGCTAGGATTCTGTGCCGTTCAGAGAACCCCCAAATCCCATCCCTGGCTGGCCCCACCCACCTCACCCCTTCCAGGAATCCCCACGCAGCCTGTTTTGGATGCAGGTAAGTGCAGGGCGCACAGAGGGCAAAAAACGACATACCAGAAGTTCCAAAGAACCTCCAGAGCCTGGGGAGGTCATTTTTGCCACCATGGTCACACCCACCCAGCAATCAGGCAGAGAACCTCTTGCTAAATTCTTTGAAGCCCACCCCTGTGTAAAATCTTGAAATAGTAGTTCATTGCAAACTAAATTCGAGTCAGCTGTGATGTGACCGAAACCCCTCCTCCAATTCTAAGAATGAAATGCAATTTATGTTACATCAACTGAAATATTATTTATTTATCACATTTGTGAGGCTGCCTGACTCCATAGCAGCTCTACGTACATGGTGCACATGCTAAAAATAGCAATAGATAAACATACAATAGATTTCCAGAGAAAATAACTAACATCTTCTCAGTCATATTGCATTTCCCTCAAAGGGACTACTATTCAATCTGATACAAGGCCTGGGGGAAATGGCATAATTTCAACAAGGCTATGATCGGGGCAATACCACTTTCGGGACAGATGCAGTTCCAGAGGGTAACTGCCACAACAGAGAATGACACTGCGGATAGAATTTATTTCCTGCACGCCTGCTAAAAGTTTTTAACCACAGGTAGAAAGATGAGATCCAAACAATATCTTGAGATGTTCCCCAATCTATAGGCTAGGATGTCAACCAAGGTCTAAGTAAAAGGAGAAGAGTCAGCGCATGTGAAAGCATAGTCACAATTGTGATCCGGAAGAGCAACTTGAGTCTTATCTTGGTTTTACCAGGTGCTTCTGGTTTCTGGTCCTTTGCAGCTTGGGGCCTCTGCTGTTTGCTTTGCTGGTGCTCCTGGTGTAGTTGCTGAAAGTTGTGGTTCCGTTGATTTTGGTGTTGGCTGAATTGTTAAAGGGGCCGCCACAAGAGGTGGGGTCTCCTTTTTCGATAGATGTTTATAGAGAGAAATAGTTAGATTAAACTTATAGTAACAAGGGGTGACTTACCAGGTGCTTGCGTTGTTGTTGGTGTAGCTGCTGGCTGAGTCTGTGAAGGGGCTGCTGCAGGAGGAATGGTGGGGGCTTTTATTATATTTTTTATTTTTATTTTATATATATATGTGTGTGTGTGTGTGTGTGTGTGTGTGTG